TTATTACGATAAAGATGAAACGGCAGATCGTACCAGGACAAACTTCAACGGGGTCCCAAAAGAGGAGACGTAAAATCAGTAAAAGTGTCTTGAAAGTAGCTATAACTGTTGTCCTCTCATTTTGGATCTGTTGGTCCCCTCGTTATATTCTAAGATTCATACGAATGTTCGTATGGCACGGAAATGTCCCAAAGACTGTTCGTCCCTACTATCCTCTTTTACAAAACATCTTCGTCTTGTTTTCTCGAGTGAACTTCGTCATCCATCCTTACATCTGCTTTGCCTTTGCTTCGAACTTTAGAAAACGCCTCAAGAACCTGTTTCCGTTTTCTAAATTATTTGCTCTAAGAATTCTTCCAGAAAGCCAGGAGTTCCAACTTACATAGGAAAAGGCTTTGCAGTTAAGCCATGGTCAATGCTTAGCGTGCGTAAATCTATTGATGGTGCACGCGGATAGTTGGAAGAGCACGATGGTAGCGTAAGAGTTGCACGAGGCGGAGCATGAATTCAAAATAGTTTGCTCCAATTTCTTTCTACTGAGCTTAAAGAACATGATGGAATCACGCCCAGGATATTCGACTGAATAGAAAATTAGGAATGCCAAGATTGTGGCGGAACTGTAAAGGAACGAAATTGTACTTGTAAGTAAGTTTCCAAGCAACAGTTCTTAGTTTAGTTTAGTTAGCATATCAAAATTTATCAAAATTCAAATTCAAAAGATTTTAAGGTCGTAAGTAATGTTCCATTTTGGAAGCAAGATGGGTGGTCACAAGCTCCTTAAATTTGGAAAGGCTTACATCATTCATTTTACAGTGTATTGGTAGCGAGTTCCATAGTTTGATAGATCTAGGTAGAAATGAGTTAAGGTAATAGTATTGTTTGAAGAGATTAAGTTCTTGGAAATTGTTTTCGTAGTAGTTTCTTGAGGCAAAATTAGGTTTAGGTACAGGCTGTAGATATTGCTTATAAGACTGGACTTCTCGTAACTTGTGACTCATAGACAGGCATACGAAACCGTTAAAAATCCTATAAACATGGACGCTTTGGGTTTGTCGCAATAGACTCGTATCTTTCAGGTCTTTCTTGGTGTAGCAAGCTTTATTGTATTCTGGGTTAGAGATTTACAGTTTTACAGTATATTGTTTAGCTCCAAATTCATTATCCTTGGCTATTGTTCTATTGTCTTCAGTTCATGCTTCAGGTGCCTTGCAACACCAAGAAAGAGCCATTTTTCCATTCATCTGTTTACGAGGTATTTTTTTTAGAAAATACATTGCTTTCGAGTTGAAAGGAAATTAGAATTCCCTTACAAAAAGAAAAAAAAAAAAAAAAAAAAGGAAAAGGAAAAAAAAAAACGAAAAAAAAATTAAACTTTTTAGCGAGTTTTTAAAATCTTCATTATAATAATATCGTGCACTGTTGACACTCTTATTTTAATAATATAGTGTACGTGTTGTTTATAGTCATACAATTTTTGTGATGATATACTATATAATACGAGCTGTGTAAATAAAGACGCACCATGGTATCCTTTTTTTTTTCTGATTCGTTTTCGTTTCATTTCCTTTTAATTATTTATTTATTTACGAAGGGGACAAATATAGCTACATGTTTTGAGGCAGAGAAACCGCAAAAGATAATGTCAACTACTGCCGACCCTTATCAAAATAATAAAGTCAGTGTCTTGTCAGTACATTTAGGAGCAGCACGTTAAAGGACTAAGGAGACAACAAGCTGAATAACATCTTAAACAAATGGATTTCCATGAGTGAGGATAGTCTGGGTTGTATGAGCACTGAAGAGCTCATTATTGAAAAAAATTCCCTCTTAATATTAAAACGTTATTATCTTTTGCTTAGTATCAGTGAGCTGAATGAACATTAAAAATTTCATGTTCAGCAATGACAGGCAAACACTGCCCGTCATGTGCGGTTAACCAGAGAGTATTCTATTGCACGGGATCAATCGGCTTAATAAATCCTTGCCTCATGAATCTTCATACCAACATAGAATGAATGGGAAACACTGCCCGTCATGTGCGGTTAACCAAAGAGTATTCTATTGCACGGGATCAATCAGCTGAATCTCATTAATCTTCCTACCAACTTTAAGAATGACAGGCAAGTACTGCCCGTCATGTGCGGTTAACCAGAGAGTATTCTATTGCACGGGATCAATCAGCTGAATCTCATTAATCTTCCTACCAACTTTAAGAATAACAGGCAAGTACTGCCCGTCATGTGCAGTTAACCAAAGAGTATTCTATTGCACGGGATCCATCGGCTTGATAAATCTAACGCAGATCATTACTATCTTACAATGACAGGCAAACACTGCCCGTCATGTGCCATCAACCACAGGTTTTTTTTCTATTTTCTGGTATCAATCAGCTGAATAAATCTAGTCATTTGCATTACCAGTTTCACTGAAAACTTGCTATTCAATTTCAGCTGGAAAAAAATCCACACGAGACCGAAAGTTACGTCCAATGATAGTAACTTAGATAACTTAGCTTTTCTTTTATCATTGATTCTTACTACAGCTGTTTCTACAGAATTCGCGTTCTTGACGTAGGAAAAAAATCATGACTTCATTTAAAAAAGATGATTGACAGCTTACCTCTGCAAGCGCGTTTTTTGCTTAGATGTATTTTATCGAGTTTCCAACCTGTGTAACCAAAGCTCTAAAATAAGAAAAGAAAGAAAGAAAGAAAAAATAAATAAAAATAAAAATATTTTTACCAAAAAGTCTTTTATTGGTAGACATTGTAAATTATGAACATTGCTAGAAAGTTAAAGTATAGCAAATAAATTTTTATTGGGATCTAGACGAAGTGCAAGAAAGAACTAACAAGCAACTAAATTGTCGGTCTCTAATCTTATTTATTTATTTATTGCTTTATATATATAGATTTTCCTTTGAAACCCAATATTTTTTCCAGTTGTAAAACATTTTCTGGAATTTTTGTAACTGTTATTAATTTTTATAAATACTATTACATGAAAACTAAGTCAGTCCATCCTCTGTTAAAAAAGTTTTGCAGCTTTTGGCTTCCCTCTTTGACTACCCTTTTTATCCCTGCTAATTTATTACCGAATTTTTATCAAATGATATGAAATACCTGTTTGTTTAAGTCAAATATGGCTCACTTTGGTGTCTCCTGACATGCAACCATGTTTGAACAGCTACTGACACGTTCTTTCCGTTTTAACTGCCTTGTTATGGATGCAGTTTTAACGCTGAAAAATAGTAAAAGAATAAACAGACTTTAAAAAATATAAAAAGAGTAAAAGAGTGAAATAAAAATTGACAAGAAAGAAGAAAGAAATGAGAACACGAAAGAAAGAAACAAATGCATGAAGAAAAAACTATTTTCATTCGCCTTTTTCCATAGTCTTATTACCTTTAATTTCATTTTAACTACTAAATAAATATTAAAATATTCAGATTTTAGAATCAGTTCTATTTTTCTTTTTGCGAACTTTTTAGAATTGTTGCACAAAATAACGAAAGCTGTATTTGAATCTACTGAAAAAATTTTCTTCCATAATTTTGTAGTTTTTAATATCTTTATTTCTTTGAACAAGTCTGGTCATGAAAATGAATATTTATAGGATTATAGTATAAGATTAAAAAACCCAACAGATTATGAAGTAGCTTTAGGTTTCAGTGATGCTTTGGGATGATATTTGATAAGAAGAAATGCAGCTGGTCGTATTTAGACATCAGGATTCGAAAATGTATATTTAGAGCAAGTTATTTACATGCGAATGTCACGGTCCTTGAAAAACGAATACAATAAATATAAAATGTAGGCGACGTCCACAATATTCCGATCGTTTTTCTTTGCGGATTGGCCATGTAAATGCAACTTTTCGAAAAAGGATACGTGTATACGGGCGAAAACGATTCGAAAACGCTACGGTGAACGAAAATTTTTATGAAAACGAAATAATAAAAATTTTGTTTTCAAAAAAATCCGAATACGTGTGGACGTTTTTCATGTAAGATAATTCAATGGTATTCGTCATCGTCATCAACAACATCGTCATCATCATCATCATCACCAGCAGCAGCAGCAGAAACAGCTTCAACAGTCATCATTTTCGACAACGTTATCATTGACATCATCATCATTTGACGCAACAGCATCACAATTATTATCACCATTATAATCATCTCAATTATCATCAGCATCATGCATCATCGTCACCATCACCACTTTTGTGTCCTCACAATTTTCTTTTAATATCGAAAAACCTAACAATTAACGTAATGATTCATCGTCGTCGTAGCTAATAATGATATTAGCAAAAACACTATCATCCAAATCGAAATAAATCATTTTAAAAAATTTAGCTGATCTAATTAAGTTTGCGAAATAAGGCTGGCGCCAAAATGCATTTGTTCTTAAAAACTAAAGTAATCTATGAGTGGCATGTAATTGTAAGTTGGCGTCATAATTTATGTAATGATGTTTGAGTGCTGAGGCTGGTTTATCTAGCTAAATCGAGTCCCATAGATAAAATTAATGGTTGCGGGTTTAGTGCAGCAAGAGAGCCAGCCCGTACCGCTCGGAACGAGTTACGTGATTGGATCAAAAAACAATAGATTGGTCATCCAAACATTAGCACTAAACCTAACCTTACAAAAGCGGTACTGTACTTGGATTACTCCAGCAAGAAATCAAACACAATAAAATATTAAGAATACTGATCAAAATTAATTATTCCAAAACAGCTGTAACCGAAAACCGAAGGTCTTTCTAAAATAAAAATATTAATTTCACTGATACTTTTTATAGCGATATTAAAAACTACAAAGTTTCCGGATTTTCCCGGAAATTATTTTTGAAATTGAAAAAGAATAATTTCAAAGTTGACATTAATTTTAATAACTTCGTACGTGTTTTAATGGTTGGTTAGGAAATTAAATGGGAAATCAAAGTACCTTATCTAATCTGATAAGAAATATGTTGGTTCTTGCGTCATATATTCAGTAAAGACTAGAAAATTCGGCGTGAATTGAAAGTCATAGGAATATAAGAAATAGGAAGGAAGACAGGTAAACATTTAGAGTGTTGCTTGGATTTTTCGTTGGAGGCCCATTTGCGCAAATAAGTGTGAAATTTTTACATCATGCCTTTATTAAGATGGCAGCTTTTGTCATACCGGATCGATTTCACTTCTGTAAATACATCAATCTAAGTAAGGAAGCTATATTAATACTTTATTCCGTTTTTGTACTCATTTAACAAGATTTGCAACGACGTTACACCATAAAAATTGTCTCACTTTTGGGAGACAAAATTCAGTCCTAGAAACTGCGCTTAAAGATGTCATCTTCGCTGGATCCCAACTCGAGTATTAACGGATCTTTCCTTAATTCATCTTCGTCACCTCTTAAGCAAAATACACCGTTCTGGATTCTCAACGTTACCCAGAGCTATACTATTCCATTTACAGTGTGTTACGCCTTGATTCTGGCCTTGTCCGTTGTAGGCAATACTTCCATTATTGCTATTGTTTCCAGAAATGCATCGATGCGAAGTACCATCAACTATCTGATCGCCAACATGGCTGCAACAGACTTGGTTTCGTCAATTGTTGTGATATCTCAATACTTCTCGATTGTTCATAATTTCTCTTACGAATGGAAAGTTCCCGGAGTTCTAGGGAAAATCTTCTGTAAGCTATGCCCCTTCATTCGCGATGTTTCGCTAGCAGTCTCAGTCTTCAGCATGGTATCTATCGCTTTTGATCGGTTTTTCGCTGTTGTTTTCCCAATGAGACGAACACCTCGACTTCTACACCTCCGTGTCCTCTTACCAATCATTTGGTGCCTATCACTTGGAACATTTACGGTGCATCTGTTTAACTATCAAACCATCTCAATCCAAGGAGTCAACTTATGTTTCCATAAATGGCCTCTTGGAGACTCTGAAACGGTCTTCTACTTTTCCAAATTGATAGGGCTTTTTCTTGTACCATTGGCTATCATTGCCATTTTGTACACTTTAATTGCATTGCGCATGAGACGCCAAAAAATCCCCGGACAACAATCTTCTGACGCTACAGAAAGAAGAAGGAGACGCAACAACAACGTTCTTAAGACGTCTGTGACGATAGTTTTTTTCTTTTTCTTGTGCTGGTGCCCTTATCAAATTTTGTTGTTCAAAAAACTGGTAATTTGGGGAGCAAAAGGCATTCCTAAAACTCTTGCTTCAAGCGTACAGGTCTTGACACATGTTTTCAATTTATTGTCGTACATGAGCTTGGCAATTAATCCTTATATTTGCTTTGCTTTCAGTTCTAATTATAGGAATCGTGCCAAAAGCCTTTTCCCGTTTTCTCTTTTCTTTATCAATCGAGTGTCGAATGATTCCATTAGGATGACATGATGTCGTGCTGTACATACGTACAGACAAATACGTACGTACAGAGTACCGTAAGTTAGAAAACCGTAATAGGTTATTACGTTTTCCACTTGAAACAAAAGTTATATTAGACACACGCATATACGCAAAGACAGAACGACAGATAGATCAAGAAAGACCAAAATCTTAGAGACAGACAGACATTAAGATATATGCACATAAACCTTAAAGACAGAGATAAAGAAAAACAAAGAAACTAATAGACAGACAGACACAAAGTGGTGACGGCAGGCACACCGAAATCAGTTGCCAGACAGGAAATAATGGAGAAGTCAGACAAGATGGTCAGGTAGTATACAGACAGACAGACACACACACAGACAGACAGACAGACAGACAGACAGACAAACAGCTACCTTGAATGACTGGATTGATTTTCTTCGGAGCAAGTCGCACCATTGCAGCCATATGTCATGGCTGAGCTTATTTTGTTGAAATTTCAAAAGTTATTTCGGGCATATGTATGTACCTTCCCGACTTTCCTTAGTTGTTCGTGCTATGTCACACAAGGTCCATAGTTTAGTAAGAGAATCTTAAAAGTGTACTCTAAGTGCAAAAATATATAATTATGTCTTAAATACTGTTATACAAATGTTCAAGAAGGATTCTTATATCACCGGAATAAAAACTAGTTGTGGGGAATATATTTAAGTTTAATAATGTTTCAGTTTTAAAAAAATCAAGTGAGCATCGCAACATTTAGTAACTTCAACGTCAATCACAGGGATAATGTATTCATCTCACATGAATATGTAACCTGCTTAATGAGCTTCAGATTAGAATTACCAAAACTTCCTTTTTTCCAATCACTTTAGAAATGACCCATTTCGAACTCATTCCTATATAACTAGTTGTGAAAGAATTGAAAGGGGAAAATATTTATCACACATGAATTTTATGCTCTCTTGATGGGTTTCAAGTGAAAAGTGCGATTGCATTTTTTTTTTTAATTTTTTAATTTTTTCAATTCATGAAATACCGCTATTACAGAGGTGAATCAAAGAATATGTGAAGGAGGGGAGGAGGGGGGGGGGGATTTGGCATTAGACTAATCTCCCCGCTTATTAAGCAAAACGAAACAAGACAAGGTCTGGGCGCATACTTCCAAGAAGAATTCTTAAAATATGGATTCCAGAAACCATTTCTTTCGTTTTGGGGATATTTCCTGCGTTCTTGGCACAAATGCAATCAAACTCAGGGGGCCTCCTAAATCTCCCCCCACCCCTCTTCCCCTGTATAACACTTGACTACAGAGAAAATTAAGTCAACGATAAAGCAGTGCCAGACGAACTTGCTTCGTACATACTCCAAAACGTTGTTCTACGTCATCAAGGTCGGCTGCTATCACGTATTCGTGCAAAACTACATGTATGAGCTGATGAGCAAATACTAGGAAACAGCTTTTCCATGTTTGATCACGTAGAATGAGATCAGAAATAGCAAAATTCAATTTTTTCTCCGAACTCCCTTTAGTATCAATGACCTCTTTTTTCCCCCGGACTCCCTTCTTTATTTCCAATTTTGAAGGCTCTACTATAAATATAACTATTATTTCAAGACACCCCTTTGCAGCGCCACTCAAAATTTCATGAGGTTCCTATAAATAAATGAACAAACAGTCCCTAAGATATCATGGAGGTTGTCAAACAACTTCTGTTAACAAATCAAAGTATGATCCAGTATTGCTTGTATGTTGCCGTCCTCTTAAGGGTTGTTCTCAGGGTTCAACGTTTTTTCTCCCTCCACAAATAAAAGTCAACTTCTCTACTCACTCCATTTATCATGTGTCAGAGAGATAAAAGCAACGGGTTTTCCATTTTTTGAAATTAAAAAGCTTAATCTAAAACTCAATCTTTTAATCTATCATATTTTTCTCTGACGAACGGACAAACATGTCAAGACCGTTTGCCGTCATTTCATTAATGGATTAATGATTGAGACGCAATCGACAAAGACGTATTTTTCTTTGATCAACTGAAGTGAGCTGCAGAGCGAGGTGTTTCTTCAGGCAAACATTTGACACTTTCGATGTTCCAAATATGTTAAATTTAAACAGAATCCGGAAGGAGAACCTGTGCAACCATACTTAAGAACAGCGGTTCTAACTCCCATCGTAGCTCTTCAAACCATTCACAAAATATTCATCTTTGGTGGGAAACTTTCGCCTCTACTTCAGAAAAACGAAGATGTCTTAATCAGCTTACACTAACGCTACGCACAACGTTAATGATAGGTCATATTACGGATGTCATTTACCTTAGATCGAGGAAAAAAGGATAACTGATTGAAACTTCCCTCAGCGCACAGTTTTTTAAAGGAAAGAAACAAAGGCACATGCGTTTAAGAGTTGACGTCCGAGGGTTATTTATTGTTGAGGAAATGTTTATGGCTTTTCTGTTTGATGAACAGTTTTAATCACTGATAGATGAAGCAGTAAGCCGTGTGGGATGGGCTCGGAAATCATATAGGAACATGCGTAATAGGTAAATTACGAGCCTTGTATGAAACGACTGAAGAAGAGTGAGTTTTAATCACTGTTTCTTTCACAGCACAAATCGCGGGAAACAGGAAACAGCAATAATAGTCAATATTTGGTCTAGTCAAAGGAGCTTGTTGCTAAGTTAGTTGTCGACACTACCTATCTATAAAAGGGAACGTCCAAGGTTCAGAAAAATATAGTCTTCGACACATGACATATCTAACTAGATCATAACTAGACTGGTATATTACGTGCGGCAAGTTAAAGATGATCTCGGATCCAAGCGTCAACGTTACTTTCTTCAATACCTCGTTTGTGCCACGGCAACCACCACCATGGATCATCACCATCCCAGAGAGTCAGAGAATAACATTCATAGTGTGTTACGCCTTGATTCTGGTTTGGTCTGTTGTAGGTAATACTTCCATTATTGCTATTGTTGCCAGAAATCCATCGCTGCGAAGTACTATCAACTATCTGATTGCCAACATGGCTGCATCAGACTTAGCAGCATCAGTAGTCGTTACAGCACGTGTTTTCTCAATCTTCCATAATCTGTCCATGGAATTTGAAGTTTCGGGAGTTTTAGGGAACATGTTCTGTAGGTTAGCTCCTTACATTCAAGACATCTCGATATCTGTGTCAATCCTCAGCATAGTAGCCATCGCAGTTGATAGGTTTTACGCTGTTGTTTTCCCAATGACACGAACACCTCGGCTTCTAGACCTCCGTGTCCTCTTACCAATCATTTGGTGCCTTTCACTGGGGACATTTACAGTGCATTTGGTAAACTTCAAACTGATATCCCCTATCCAAGGCGTTGATGTTTGTATCCAAGAATGGCCTACTGGAGTAGACTCAATCAAGGCCAGTACCATATTTTACTTGAGCATTTTCACTGTATTTTGGTTGGTACCGCTAACAACCATTGCCATCTTGTACACCATTATTGCCCTAAAAATGAGGCACCAGACAATTCCAGGACAACAGTCATCAGATGCTGAACAAGCGAGGCGAAAACGAAACAAGAGTATCGCAAAAATGGCCTTTGCAATCGTGTTTTTCTTTTTCTTGTGCTGGTTTCCGTTTCACACTATTTCTATCTTGAAGCTTGTCGTTTGGAAAGGAAGCATCCCCAACGGTGTAGATCCTCATCTGTTGGTTACTTTTCATGACACCACAACCATGATATCTTACGTCAGTTTTGTAGTCAACCCTTATGTTTGCCTTACGTTCAGTTCTAAACTTAGAAAATGCTTCAGGAATCTCTTCCCGTTTTCTCTCTGCTTCGCTACGAGGATTAGTCCTCTTGGCGTATCTTCCCAGTGGACTTCGAATGGTACTTCGACAACGGGACAGCAAAAAATGGTCAGGTTTAACAGGACTACTTCACAGGCTCACCGCGAAAACAAATCCAAGACTGATTCGCGTTAAGACTATCATCATATACTAATCTACAACGTATGGACAACACAGCAACACAAAGGCGATGGTCAGTTTTAACAAGACACTTCAGAAGTCTACTATACAAGAACACATCCAAGAATGAATCACTTTAAGAATATCATCAAATTATTGTTTACAACATATGGACAGCACAACAACGCAAGGCGATGGTCAGTTTTAACAAGAACACTTCAGAAGTCCACTATACAAGAACACATCCAAGACTGAATCCCTTAAAGACTGTCATCAAATTAGTGTATACTACATAGGGAAAACATCTGGATTTTTTGTGTATTTTTGTTGATTCCTTGTGCTTTAATTAAAAGGCACTATAGATTCTTCGGCTTCAAGCTTTTTTGCTAGATTTAAGATCTCATTCAAATCTCATTTTTTACTTCTCTCCACGTAATCTATGTTTAAAACGGTTTTAGCTTTCCGTTAAATCAGTCTCCGGTGATAAAACCAATATAAAAACGTATTTCTCTATAAACTTATTTCTCAATTTTTACGTGACTTGAAGTTGTGAAAGGTTTTTAGGGCACTCTTATTCAGTCGTTTCATATAAGGCTCGTAATTTACCTATTACGCATGTATTTCTCTATAGAGTATTTAGCCGTTATCAGTTTTCAAGTCAAACTTTTGGAATATATATTTGAATTTTAACAAGGGGTGGGTCACCTGTTCATTTTACTTTTTGATAATTGAATATTTATGGACACTGCCCCCCCCCCCCCCCCCCCCTTCAAACCAGTCGCTTTTGTTCTACGTCAGCTAAAATGGCTACCAGCACTTATTCGTGCAAAACGACACGAGTGTAAAACGTCTGCGCATGCTCTAAGTCCTTATGCAAATTAGCCAAAACGTCTCCTTGATAAAAATATATGCAAGTTTGCCTTTCTAACATGCCTGATAAATGGACTTCACAAAATTCGAAAACTTAGTGTCCATGCTTGAAACTTAAGGCTAATTCTTTCACATTGTGTTTGTTAATACAGTATCTTGGTCTCATAAAAGTACACTCGCGAAATGTTTTCTATACTCGGAGAAAAACGAAGATTTGTTTTCTCACTCAAGCTCTTCTAAATTCTTAAAAAACGTGCTGTAGTGTCGTGCAAAGCTACATGTCTTATCTGATGAACATGACAATTTTATGACCAAAATGTTATGAAATATTTAGGAAACAAATTTCATCCCAGTGTAAATAGATCTGTTTGATCAGAAAAGCAGTGTTATTTAGTTATTGCCCTTCTGTTTGGTCGTTGCTTGTACTTTTTTTTTTTTTTTTTTTTTTTCTCCGTCCGGACTCCGCCAACTGTTTTTGATAATTTTGAAAAAAAATCCCTACTCTTTTGAATTTTGTTAAAGACATGTTTCGACAAGTGTAGAATTTTTATCAATTTTATCGTCTGCTAATTTCTCGACAACTTACTTTTAAATCTATTGATGTTCATGATGGCAGCAAGACTGCTTCAACATTTCTGAGACACTGAATCAAAGTATAGTTGAATAGCTTTATTATCTTCTTGAGTTCACCGTTTTTCCTCCCTCCACAACTGAAGACCAACTCCTAGATTTAACACACACACAAAAGAAAAATACACTAAGACGATTAAAAAACGCATTTGAAAACGCTCTCCAAGGTGGTAACATTTTAAGACAGATGCATATAGTGAGAAGTGTGAACGCGAAGGCTTTCGATGCATTTACGGTTAGACGAAAACGGAGCGTTTGGCCAAAATGCATTAGTTTAGACGTGGACTAAATGAAAGAGAAACAACTGTTCTTCTTCCTTCATGATCATTTACTATACTTGAAAGATAAAAGCGACGGATTTTCGTAATATCGTCCTGAATGTTGAATATCATAATAATAAACTGCGAAAGGTATAGTTACATCCTTTCATCTAAAAAGCTCTTTCTGTGGAAATTTATTTTGATATAGATAAGATATAAAGCAAATGACAATAAAAGGTATTTGACTCTGGAAAGTAGCAATGTAGAAAGTAGACATGATTTTATTTCAATACCAGTCTCAAATCAACAGTCTTGACATTATGATTCGAGTGTATTTATGGGATTTAGGATGTATACCGAAAGAAAATTTTTTGCACGTTTTGTCTGACGCAAATTAGAAATATATAGACACAGATGTCAAATGGTCGCTTGCCTGATCACATCTTCAAAGGGAAAGGTATAAATAAAGGCACTGCATCGCGATGATTTAAGAGATTGAAGCATAATTGAGCGTGCACAAGATCATCTGATCATTATATAAGGAGCTTTCCTGTTACTCTTTTCAAGATTTGTTATTCTCAATCATGAATTCAAGTCTAAACAGTCATTCTTCAATTCATCGGTTCTACAACAGCAACAAGCAACGAGTCATGGATCATCATCATCCCAGAAAGTCAGAAAATATCATTCTTATTGTCTTACGCGGTAATTCTGGTCTTGTCTGTCGTAGGCAATACTTCCATTATTGCTATCGTTGCCAGAAATCCATCGATGCGAAGTACCATCAGCTATCTGATCGCCTATATGGCTGCAACAGACCTGGCAGTATCAGTGGTCCTCACTGGATGGTATTTCTCCATCTTTCACAATCTTTCACATGAATGGCAAGTTCCTGGAATTTTTTGGAAACTTGTTCTGTAAAATATGTCCCTACATTCGCGATGTCTCGATGGCCGTATTAATCCAGAGCATGGTAGCCATTTTCTACATGGCATGGAAAAACCTTTATAACTTCAAGAAGCCGCACTCAAACTATACTTTCTTTCGGGTTATTCCACATCTTACCCCATGTAGAATCAATACTGTGAATATTGTCAAGAAGGGTGATAGGCACTTTAATATTTACGCAGTAGCTCAAGGTGCTTATTGTAGATCTTTTTCACCTGTTTTACGGTATATACATATGTCAATTCTGCTCGATTCTTTAAAGGTCTAATTTTATTTGCGCGCTAGAAGTAATTTATGAAACCGACATAAATACGAGGTTGGTCTGAAACTGAAACTTATTCTGCCAGTGTATCGTGTAACGTTCTTCAGATGATGTCTCTTCCAACAACTCAAAGTCTCAACGAAAGCTTCGTCAATGCATCGTCACTACCACAGCAATTAAAACCGCCATCGTTCATCCCAGAGAGCCAGAGAATAACATTCACAGTTTGTTACGCTTTAATTCTGGTCTTGTCTGTGCTAGGTAATACTTCCATTATTGCTATTCTTGCCAGAAATCCATCGATGCGAAGTACCATCAACTATCTGATCGCCAACATGGCTGCAACAGACTTGGTCGCATCAGTGGTTGTTATAGGGCGATTTTTATCCGTCATGCACAATTTATCTAAGAAATGGGAAGTTCCTGGAGTTGCTGGGAACATTCTCTGTAAGCTATGTCCCTTCATTCGTGATGTCTCAATTGCTGTGTCAATCCTCAGCATGGTCGCCATTGCGTTTGATCGTTTTTTTGCCGTTGTTTTCCCAATGAGAGCAACACCTCGACTTCTTTACCTCCGTGTCCTCTTACCAGCCATTTGGCTTGTAGCTCTGATTTTTTTCTGTGCATCTGGTGAACTACAACCTCGTTTCTTTTCCTGACGGAGATTGGTGCTACAATTCATGGCCTTTGGGAATCGATGAACAAAAGGCTATAATTATTTACCATGCAGTATTTCTTCATTTTTTCTTTCTGCTTCCATTGTTGGTCGTCACAATCTTATACTCAATCATTGCCTTCAAAATAAAACGCCAGAACATTCCAGGTCAACAGAATTCTGCAGCAGAAAATAGACGCCGAAAACGAAACAATAAAGTCATAAAGTTGTCCTTGACAATAGTTTTTGGATTTTTTGCTTGTTGGACGCCCATTCAAATTTTCGTAAGTTTTGATATTTTCGTTTGGCAGTGGAAAATTCCATCGAGTGTTCTTCCTCACTATGATCTGATATCAGAAGTCCTTATTTTTATTTCTTACGTAAGCTTGACCACCAATGCATTCATTTGTCTTGGGTTTAGTTCGAACTTTAGAAAAGGCGTTCGCAATCTTTTTCCATGCTGTTTGTTTTTTGTGAGTAGAGTGGAGAATCTCGAGGAAGGAGCTCAAAGCAATCGCGTACAACAAAGTACGGTAATGTACAACGTCAATGACTAAGTTTATTTCCATAATAGACCGATGCATCCTTGCTATTCTTGAGTGTCCACCCAAACACTGGGTAGTTTCCCAATGAAATACTAAATGTCCGACGAACAAACTCTAATAAGCCAGTTTATAGTTTAAGTGCTGTTTAATAAACGAGCAGGAGTGTTTTATCGGGTTTAAAACCACGAGGCGTAGCCGTAGGAGATATAAACATTTGAAATATCGATATGCAAATGAGATGACGTAAATTCAAGACTAGTTTATTATACAAAAATGCTGTTGTGGAAAGTACTGCTGTTTTTTCATTTGCAAATCATCCTTATAACTGAAATATATGACTTTGTACACTTTTAGGTTATTTCACTTCAGAACACTTGTCGTAAATCACACTGCAAAATGTAACCCATTCTTGAATTTACGTCATCTTATTTGCATATTGATATTTCAAATGCTTATTTCTCTGAAAAGAGAAAACCACACACAAAAATACTGCAACCACACTACTACACTGTTCACACATAAGTGATTTTGAAAATAAAATTTTATCCTTGATTTAACAAAACACGCGGGATGTTGGGAGAACACGAGAGGAGCGTAGGAAACTACGACGCGTAGCGGAGTGGTTTCCAGCTTCTCGAGTGTTCTCTCAACATCCCAAGTGTTTTGATCAGAGTATCAAACACAGAAAACTGTTTTTGATTTGTTTTATAAAATAACAAACGCGAAAAAAGATCGAAAAAAAGCAAAGTTAGGTAAATTCTCCCTACGTGCAGTCTTATTCAAACTGACCAATGAGATTAAAAATGACGGTAGCATGTTTTGATACTCTCATCAAACATGGTTTTCGACCAATCATAGCGCGCGTAGTATCCCAATTATTTTATTAATGTTTTTTCTTAATGTACCTTTAAAATGGATTGATTCTAAGACACGCATTTATAATTTTCAGCAATCGGTATCTACTCCGTATTGCCTATCAAAAGACGGAAGATTTGATGTTTGGAATCTTTTTGGGAAATAGTATAGAGTATATAGCAATAAATAAAATGCTGCTTTTGATCAATCACTTTCTTCTCTATCTAAAGCATTATATTATTTACAATAAATCTTGAGAAACTCATTTGTCCCCAAAACTATTTATTCCAAATTAAAACTATTTATAACCTTTAAAATTAAACGTAACGAATGGAATATATGGTATTTGTTTGTATTGTCATTTTATATCGGACTTAGCTGATAGAGGGTGTTCAACCTTGTGACTCAAAATCCCTTGAGATATAAATAACAATGAAATAGCCGCCATGTTGGTTGATCTAACAAGACAAGCTAATGAGGAACGCTTCGTTTTTGTCAACCAGGATGGCGGCAATTACGTAACATGCTCCGGCTCTATTGTATTGCATTTTGTAATAGTATAAACTTTATGTACCATATATTGTATAATTAGCAATTATTCGCCGAAGGCGAAGTGAATATCGTGGAATATTTACCGAGACGCGAGTCCCATATACCAACTTGTGTACAGAGTAACTTATTTTTATATACAATAATTCAATAAAAAACATACAAACAGAAACTTAAACTTTTAGCAAAACTTTTAGGCCATACTTCGTTGCCTTTTTAGTATTGATAGGAATGGCAGTTACTTTCATTTTTTCAATTTCCTCATAGGAAATTGTAGCAAAACGACAAGTTGGTATATGCTAAATCTTCATATGCACTGTAAATGTAGTCCTCAATGTAAAACTTGAATAAAGATTATTTAAAAAAATACTTTATATTAGAAACACATCTGAAGGCGAAACAATTGTTGTCAAACACCTTAGCATTTGAGTTTGTCCCACGTAGCAACAGTAACTAAGGAGAGGTAGAAAACAATAAATGCGGGATCGGTGTATTTGCAGTCGGGTGTTCCCCTTCTAAATAGGACAAAGGAAAAGTACAGGACAATAATAGGACATTAGAAAAGAAACCAAGAACAAATCTTTTGTTCAAGTCAACCAACATGGCGGGGATATGACATCACATTCTCATGGCCGAAAGAAGTGGCCGGCATTTTAGTCAACGAACTTGACGGTACAGTAATTTTCTACATGCCACTAAAAAGGTGGATGCACCAAATAAATACTCGTGTAGAGAAAATAGATAGTACTATTAAATGTTACAGCCCATAAGCTGTTTAAAGCTCGTTATTAAGCAATAAAGTGGACTATTACCGCACACTCTTCATTGGACGAAATTTTCCCAAATTTAAAAAAAAAAAGCTGGCTGCACCTTCAAATATCTACAGTACGTAAACACTAGTTTCCCAGAAAAACTGTTTTTTCTTCTGAGTTTGCTCTTTCTAATGAATTCTGTAATATAAAGAGCAGCTTATGAATCACGGCAAGACCATTAAAGGCGAATGCTTGGGCTGTGTAAAGAGTCGTAACAAAAGCCGTCAAAAATCTTTGGCAAGATGACCAAAAATAAATTAAAGCTATACAATTTTACGAGGATTTCTGCTTCTAATAATACAGAGCGCTAGCTGTGTAAATGTAACTGTTTATCTGACCACGGCGGCGTTACAGTCTGTGTAATTTACTAAGCAAGAATTTCATAATTGCTTGCAACAAATAGCCGACATTTCCTCACTCACACTTACTTATTTCCTTAAAAGTGGATACAAAGGGAACTTTAATAGATAGTAATGGCTTTTTCTCAATGATCAAAATATTTTTGAATCGAAGATTTTAATGGACTTAATTGGTGAAACCATGGACAATATTGTTGGCTCTTGGTGACAGCTTGTCCATTTGGATACGGGAAGGTTTGCAAAGTGTGTGTGCACAGAAGTTATTCATATACGCATTCTGTTCGGTCATAATCATTGTGCTACGCATGCAGAAGGATAACTCTTGAGGCAGACATAGTTAGATAAAGTTCGAATACTAATCTCTCAAATCACTATCTTTTTACGGGTATGTCTAATACGAATTCAAGTCTTCAACCCAACTCAACCTTTAATTCGTCTTTTCCACATCAGCAATTTACACCGCCATGGATCTTGAACATACCAGACAGCTACAGAATATCGTTTATTTTATCTTACACCTTGATTCTGGTCTTGTCCGTTGTAGGCAATACTTCCATTATTGCTATTGTTGCCAGAAATCTATCGATGCGAAGTACCATCAACTATCTGATCGCAAACATGGCTGCAACAGACTTGGCAGCATCAGTGGTCGTCACGGCACGTCTTTTCTCCGTCATGCACAACCTTTCTAAGGCATGGGCAGCTCATGGAGTTTTTGGGAACATGATGTGCAAGCTTTGTCCATATATTCGTGACGTTTCGATAGCAGTGTCAATCCAGAGCATGGCAGCCATCGCATTTGATCGGTTCTTCGCTGTTGTTTTCCCAATGAGGCCAACACCTCGAATTCTTGGCATTCGTGTACTTTTACCAGCCATCTGGTTCATAGCTCTGGGATATTTTTCTGTGGAGCTAGTAACTTATAAACTCATATCAATATATGGGGTAGAATTTTGTTATTTCATATGGCCGTCTGGTGTCGATGGTAGAAAAGCAGATAATATATTTTACTTTACAACTGTAACTTTCCTCTTTCTGTTACCTCTTTTGGTCGTAAGCTTTGTTTATGCTGTTATTGCCTTGAAGATTAGACGACAGGTTGTACCTGGTGAACAGTCGTCCTCTTCCGAAACCAGGCGACGAAAACGCAACAAGAATGTCATCAAAATGGCTGTCAGCATTGTTTTTTGCTTTTTTGTCTGTTGGTTTCCCTATCATGTTTTTAATTTTCTTTTGGGATTTGTTTGGAATGGAAATGTCCCGCAAGTTATTCGTCGTCACTTTGGTCTCATTTATGACATAATCATTCTAGTATCCTACGTAAGTTTGATCATCAATCCCTACATTTGTTTTGTGTTTAGTTCAAACTATAGAAAGTCCCTTCGAAACCTTTTTCCATTTTCGTTGTTCTTTGCGACAAGAATCGGCTCGTTGGATGACACTTCGCAAAGGTCAGCAACGAATCGCGTGCAACAGACGGAGATGTACTTCATCAGCCAGTAGAGTTAGTGCTAAATACCACTTTAATAAAGAGCGCATTTAGAATGGCCTAAGCAGGTTCAAAACTGCATCTTATATATCTGTATAATATGCTATCAATCAGTGGATAGAATGCTAAATACCACTTTGATAAAGCGCATTTAGAATGGCCTAAGCAGGTTCAAAACTGCATCTTATATATCTGTGTATTCTGGACGAAGAGAGTAGAGATCAGATCTGTGAAATATACTTGGCACGTAGCGGCGCACGAAGAACTGGTAATAACTTTTAGTATTTTTACACAAGTGAATATAATAAATTCGGCGCGCTCATTGATCACAGTTTATTACGTCTTATGCTGCTATATTCACCTATAGGTCGCAATATATATATACCTACAATATAGCGCGCTACCTTGTCGATTTGTGCCGCTTGCAGAGATAAGTAACATTGAAAAAAAACTCTCTCTCCATTACTTAATATATTCACTTGTGTTCAAAATACTAAAACAATTATTCGCCCTCATATTCTTCGTTATCTGAATGGCGAATGAAAAACGCATTGTATAGCGCCTTTGACAGTGTATAGACACTGTATAGACATTGTAACCGATACGAGATGTGACAGCTTGGGGTAAAAACTCCACAAATTGAAGTGCAGTCACGAAAAAAATGTAAATAATATTTAATGAACAAAAGTGCCAGCTGCAAAAGGTGTGATCATGAGAAACCCTAAGTTGACTGAAAACTGTACGCTTTATGCATAGATTATGCTATTTTTTTGTTAAAGAAAATGGTCAGAAACGTCGAAAGATCTTAGTAAAAGCCTTGCTAGGAATTTTGGTTCTTAACTAAAATGAACCATCGGGAAATTTTAAACTTTGCAATAAAAATACCGGCTTAAGACAGTGTGGCATGTAAATCCTTTTTTTGCAGCAAATAAAACGAGACTAATTTGACCTATGTATGATATTCCAACCAAGTTTGGCAGAAGTATTCCTTATTCTTGTGTGCGATTTGTCCATTTTTTAAAGGGATTAAGGAACTTAGTCTTAGTAGAATAAGGAAATAGCATGAATAAACAAAAAAGGCACCTGCCTTGGAGAACAGTAAATATAGGTAGGAAGAAATTGTATTCCCTATTTAACCGAAGTTGACGTAAATTCACGCGCTTATTATCTTTTTTGGGGTTTTTGGCGTGGATTCAGACAAAATGACAATATTCCTCGAGTGTTACCATTTCATTGTCAGCCATCTTCATTTCTTAATGAGGATACTTTCTTTGAACATTTTCAACTCGTCTGCATATCCATTTTCACTCAGTGGTTCCAGAATGGCAGGGTGCAGAATGTTTTCAAGGGGGGGGGGGGGGGGCTGAAAAGCATCACATATCGTCCTTTTAGGTTTTACCTTTATGTTTACCATTTTTTAACTCGAAACCTAACTTTGTATCTCATTTTCGAACCCTGAACTCAGCATAAATATGTGAGTAGAGTTTATTGCGTCTCTTACATGAATTTTTTACAACTTTAGTGATGAAAATGGCATAGTGTCATGCGAACGGAATTCGTTTGATCTAAACTTTCATTCAGAAAACAACCCACGCACGTTTTCAACATCCGATATCAATGACTTCTATCATCATTCCCTATTAATATCCATCGACATCGAAATAGACCCTTTTCGAATTCCAAATTACCGCTGTGTTTCTTGATTACAGACTCATTTACTCAGGCTTAGCCTCGAATCAGTGTCTAATTACTCGCAAATACCAACGGTAAAGTAAAGAATGCACAACTTCAACAATACGAACACTTTGAAACTTGATGGACCTTGACTGGAACACGTGAATATTCTTCACAAAATCGAGGCTAACCCTGAGCAAATGAGTCTGTAATCAAGAAACACAGCGGTAATTTGGAACTCGAAGAGGGTCTATTGCCATCACTATCATTGCCATCAACATCAGCGCCACCACCGTCATTACTATCGTCATTGCCACTCGACCAATATTACCACCACCTCCATTATAATCAGCACTTTTATAACCGTCAACAACCGTTAACTGTCATTACAATCGACGTCATCACTATGATTATTACCATCAACATCATCATCGCTGTCACTATCATCATTATCACTATTCAAAGTGGCCACGAAATCTTTTATAACCGTGAACAANTCACTATGATTATTACCATCAACATCATCATCGCTGTCACTATCATCATTATCACTATTCAAAGTGGCCACGAAATCTTTTATAACCGTGAACAACCGTTAACTGTCATTACAATCGACATCGTCACTATGATTATTACCATCAACATCATCATCGCTGTCACTATCATCATTATCACTATTCAAAGTGGCCACGAAATC